CTTATTTTGAAATCCACGCACCTCCCATTGTTATTTGAAATTCAAGATTTCAAATTCTGGAATTGAAATGTATGAATTGAAATGAAATGTTAATTGTCAAACACTACCTTAACTTTTTTTAAATCAACAATAGAACTATAAATTCAAGTCGGAATACAATAAATCGAGAGGAAATTAACTCTTTCAACCAATCAAATTCAGAATCATACGCTCGAGAAAACAAATGAGTAACTTGTACGGTTGATCTTTCAACAACAAGCAATGTAAGAAAGTCAAAATCTTGCATTAGTGCCAAACAATAAAAAATGTTTCTGTAAAAAAAAGAAAAGTTCTCCATATCACCTTCGGTTGCGTTGAAGGCAACCTCACTATCAATTTTCACCACTAGTTCACGCCGCATGAAGAACAATTTCAACCATATCAGCGCCTCTTGAAGTCCACTAGCTTCGGCAGTTTGGCCATCAGTGCATACTGAAGTGGACCAAGCCTGCGGTGTGCCCCTCGCAAGAAACCTCCAAGCGCATCCCGCACCACCATCCCAACCGCACCATCTTTGTTTGCGAATTGAAACTCGCATCAACATTACATTTAAGGTCATCCCCACTCGAAGCTTGCCATACAGTCCCTCGTTGGCCTGACCCGCCTTTGTTCCTCCGCACCTCTCCCTTGGTTTGCACCTTTCTTGCGTCTCTCGAACTGCTTTGGCTGCTAACGTTCTTGGAATCATACGCTTATTCCTCGAAACCAGATACTTTTTGTTGTCCCCGTTCCTCCCACAAAATCATGCATACCTTCTAGAACACTACATCTTGTGTATTCTATTTACGTAGGTCCTCAAGTCACTGCCAAAGTGATACAAATTTCCTCGTAAAGTGGCAACTGATTTTCTCCAAACATTCACACGTGTAAGCACACTCAATAAGGCAATGAAATACATATTCCTTGATAGAGAAGATGAATTATATTATTTAATTAGTTATTTATTAATTAGTAGTATTATATATGTACTCATGATTAGGTTTTAGTATGGGGCCCAAGCCCATTAGGTTAATTAGTGTTTCTCGTATCTCTATATATTGTACTCTCGTATTATTATTATTATTATTCAATCAATAAAGAAATATCAAAATCCTAATATCTTTCTCTATCCTATTCTTCTAGAGCTAGAAGAAGGCTCGAAGTTCTTCCCTATCCGATACGATTCTATACCAAGTTCTTCCAATTGATATGTACCTTCGGTGGCACCTACATCTTCCACACGAGAGTCCACATACCAGCAGTGTTGATCGTCTCCCTTGGTCATTGGTTCTTGTGAAGTAGACGGTAGCCTTGCTTCACCGAGTAGGTACCCTTAAGATCGTCTCTCCACATGCGGCCATCCTCGTACACCTGATTGCTCAAAGGGATCCGCATAATCTCATTGATATCTTCCGAGCATGCAGAACAATGCTTAAAGAAGGCCAACAACCCATCTCCGAGTAATTGGATCATTAGGGCCGACACCGGAAAACTTGCCCACTCCTCGTTAAGGTTCATTCGAATATAAGAGTCTTTTTTCCTCAACAACCATAGAGCATTAAGTACCGATCTATCTTCTCCATTCTCGACCATCCGCACACATCCTTATTCAAGAATTCTCCCTCCTTCAATAAGAGATCGCCAAATAAACTGAATAAAGTGTGACCATGTTAATGGTATTTGGGAAGATAATATTTTAGGGCATGTGGAGTAAGTTTTTCAAAATGTAAATTCTCTTGTAATTAACTTACTTCTTTATTTAAAATTATGAGATTTCAGTACTTTCATAAATCATAGTCATACCTTATGACATACGGAGTACTCCGTATGTTTTACGTTTAAATTATGCATATTTTCATAAATAGAAAGAATAAAAATTTAGAGTTTAAGAGAGTAATATTGGGCATGGTATATATTATGAAATATTTGCACTAAAATTTAAGTCATTTCCCTAAATAGCACTTAAACGGTTCTATTTTCTAAATAGCATTTAATAATGTTCATAATGTCTAGTGATGACGAATATTTGCTTGAATAATGACTAATCCATAATGACTAAAAGTGCTACATTGGGAAGAAAAACACATATGGTGCTATTTAGAGAAAGTCGTTATGTTTTATTGCTATTTAAGTAAATTCCCCATATATTATTCGAAACGAGTATTATTAGAACTCGCTTTCGCTTTATGTGATTTACGTTTGGGTCAGTCTTACATCAATTCAAACAAAAAAGGATGAAACTCGTCCCTGAGAACCCCTTAGATAGAACCGGCGGGACAATCTCAGCCCCCTGAACCGTCTGGATGACCACCTAAGAGAACGTAAATTAGGCTTTAATTACAGATTTATGACAAAACGTGTAGCACATGTCAAGTACTTGTAGAGATCTTATGTTTAACATATATAATTGATTCTTCACACAGTTGCAATTATCCCTTGGGCATTGCTTGCCTTGCCAACTTTGCAACGCCTCCGGCAAAAACTTTAATTTGGAGGGTAAACTTTTTATATTAGTCGGCCACGACATTGTGGCCCCAACACAAGGAACTCTGACCTCTCGCATGAACCTACAGAGTAGTATACACCGTTTGCTCTACTTGTTTGTTCATCCGCATCGGGCGCTGAGATTTTCAAGAGTGTGGATGCTAAAAATCTATAGTATGATTTATTTTTATGAGTATGATGACTCAAACTCAATACTTCCCAAAATGAAAAAAATCTTGGAGAGATTGTCATCGTACCACGTTGACAAATTCAAACAAAATATCCATGTGTTGAAACTTGAAACGTGAATAGGGGTGAGCATGGTACGGTATTTAGCTCGTACTGATACCGTACCAAATTTTTTGGTTCGGTATGTGATTTTACTCTGTACCGATCTCGAAATATCGGTTCGGTTTGGTTCGGTATCGGTTTCGGTACAAATCGGGATGAATATACATACCTACTTTACACATTAAAATTTAACAACGCCCCAAATACCGTACCGACCATTCAATTCGGTACGGTTCGGTTCCTTCTCGATACTTTTTTGGTTCGGTATTCTCATTTTTTTCGGAAAATTTCGGTATCGGTTCGGTACTTGCTCACCCTTAAACGTGAATGCGACCCATCCACGAATGTAAACATTTTAGTCCCAAATAGCTCCTTACAATTATTTTAAGGAGACACAAGATGTTGCTGGGGAATGTACATGGAGTTAGTCCCACGTCGAAATAGACTGGCGCTCTGTTATCAGAAATGATGAAATTGGAAGAGATTAAAAGAAATTGGAATAAATTATAAATTGTTAGTATAAATCAAGAAAAATTGGAAGATTTTGAGAGAGTTAAAGATATTAAAAGAAGTTGAAATAAATATTAAAATGTTTTGAATTGATAGGTCCTAAGCAAAGTAAAATTTGTGGCCATATTATATACCTCATGGTTGCAAATAATTTTACACAAATACTCCGTAACTATTAGTAAATCTGCATTGAATAGGACGAAAACATAAATCATTTTTCAATGTAGGACTTAAATTTTTTATTCCCTAAATATGACTTAATAATGACTAGTGATAAGAATAATGTCCAAGTGATGCTTGACATTTAATTGAATAGTGACTAATAGATAATGACCAATAGTTCTACATTGAGAAAATAAAAACATATGATCGTATATTAAGAAAGTCATTATGTTTTAGTCCTAGTTAAGTAAAAAAACTATTTTTATCATAACACGATATGATTTTTTTTGAATATCAAAATTTAAATTTACAAACTTTGATTATAATATTTCAATTGAAAAAAAATATCAAAAAAATCACAAATGCACAATCTACACCAAAAAAGGTCATTCATATGCCACTTACACAATCAATATGCACATAATAAGGTTGATTGTAATGGTAAACAAAAAAATAATTTTAATCCTGCGCGTCAGCGCCACATCAGAAGTTAAAATTCACAAAGAACATTTTTAACCATTTTTCCTATATTGACTTGCTATTTTTACATTTTAACAAATGCATAGTGATATAACAAGTAACTTTTTGTTCCATTCTCCAACCATGGTTTGTTAATTCATTCTACATCTCTTTGACTTCATATAAAAAGGAAAGCTTGTTATATACTTATATTTAGCAAGGTAAATTCATTTTTCGGTAAGCTTGCTAGAATATAGCACACTCATTGGAGAATCAAAGAATGATTTGGCTTGCTATATCATAGCTTCTAGGAGTTCTAGCAAACCAAAGTGGGATAGTTGGGGAGGCTCTAACTTTTTTAAATTTATTTCTATAACAATAAACTTACAATGCAAACTTTCAAAAAAAATCACTTTAATTTAAATAAATAAAAGAAAGAAAAAGTAAGAGAGATATGATAGTGAAAACAAGTCTTTCCCCATAATCACCACTCTCAACTTTTAAAGGCAACCTTACCAATTTGGAAAATTCTTACATTGTCCTAAGATCCATATTAATTTAACGGATCTTAGTGCATTAATATCATAAAAAATAGGTCTTTTGCAAAAACATTATTTGCAAGCCCGTAAAATGCGTGAGAAGATCTACATGAACTCTACAAATTTGTCACATTATCGCCTTGTAATGGATACAACTACAAAAAAGAGTACACCAAAATACACCATTACAAGCACCCTAATATCGATGAATACTATGATAGGAGCATCTCCAACCATATTCTTAAATGGTACTACATACAAAATAGCAACTTAGTTTCAATTTTGTTCAATCCAAGGGAAGAGCTTTACTTTAGCAAGATTGCTATTTTAACCAATAGAGTTGGTATTTATAGCAAATGCACTTGGGTTGGTAAAAAAAATTAAATACTCTCTCCCATTTCAACCATAGGATGTCTCTATAGCAAATGTCACATGTCTACATACATAAGATTGAACTCTATACATTCTATGGTTGCAGAACGTGCTAAGAATTAGAGCAGTAAAATATTACGTAGTATTTTGTTGGTAAAATAGCATTTACCAACCTGTTTTTTAATGCTCTAAGTTCATCCCTCCCCAACAAAATGGTAAAACCAAAAAGAGCCGTTAATTTTGGGAATCCAAACTAACCAAAAGGAAAAAAAAATAAAAATACAATGAGCCCTATTTAGAGAATGGGTAGAATACAAAAAGGAAAGAATTCCATTATCCATAGCTTTGCCCAAAGACTCCTCTGCCTTTGATTGATCAGTTTGTTTGAAGTGTCCTTCCCTCACTCTCTTCTTCAACCACTGCAGAAATTTATTTTATTGGGCTCATAAAAGATTTTTACACTTTAACACGTCTCGTCAGTTGCATGTGTAATCATTTTGAATTTTACACGTAAAATTCTAAAATAATATTTTTAATTTGGGTCAGGTGGTTTTTATATTGAGATATTTCATATTTGCACTAAAATTTAGGTCATTTTTTTAAATAGCACTTAAATTGTTTTATTTCCTAAATAACATTTACTTGAATAATGACTAATGGATAATGACTAAAAGTGTTACATTGGAAAAAAAACATATAATGCTATTTAGGGAAAGTCACTGTATTTTAGTATTATTTAAATAAATTCCTCTTTTATATTCTACCCTCTGTGTTCTAAAATTAATTTTCCATTTTATTTACTAGCTTTGAATAGTAACTGGGATGGGTAATTTTAGAAGGAATGGAGTAACAATTATCTTACCTTCATGGGCATTGGTAGAGACGGGAATGAGGGGAGAGGAGTTTCCGTTGGTGGCGGAAACAGAGCCCTGCGACGGCGACACCTCCGTGTGGTTGGTGGCGGCGGCGACTCTGGAGAGAAACTGGTTTATAGGCGGCGGTTGGGGGCGGAGGAAGGAAGAAACCGCGTCCTTCACTTTCTCGACCACTCCCCTGTCTCCGGGAGCTCTGGTTCTGGGACTCATGGCCTCAGAGATGACCTTGGAGAGCTCCCTTTCGTCCTCCCCGGGCTCAAGCTTGTTCATCAAGTACTCCTTCACAGATACCCCTTTGTCCCATCTTGTCGGGCTGCTAATGCCTTCTTTGTCTTTCTCCTCTGTCTTTGCGGCGGTAGCCGCCACCGTCAGGCCGGAAAACTTGGAGTCGATGGAAGACGACGACGGCTGGGGTTCTGTCGCATTGGACCTTTCTTCTCCGGCCTCTTTTTCGTTCCCGGGTTTTGTGGCTGCTTGGAGCGGGAAAACGCTCTTCTCTGAAAACAGAGGATCGGCGCGGGGGTGTTGCCGTGCCGTCTCTTTGTAGTCTTCCGGCGCCAGTTCCGATTCATACACTGATAGCCATGTAAAAAGAAACTCTTCATTAATTAATGTTTTCATCCATTTTAGATAGTGAAAGTTGTTTCAATCTTTCAAAAAAAGAATTGGATTTTAAACATAATATCAAGACAGGCGAATCCAAAATAACCCTTTAAAAATGAGTTAAATTCAATCGAATTCGAATCCAAAAACAGACCCACTAAGATAAATTTTGTTACTTACTAGGAGCTCCAAGATACTCGGGATCTTCATCCTCTACCACATCATCATCATCATCATCATCTTCTTCATCATATTCATCATATTCGTCTTCGTTTTCGTATTCGTTCTCTTCTAAGTTTGCACCCCATGCCGGCCGCGTGGAGTTGGTTTCACCGGGGACATGATTTTCGTGCTTCTTCTTGCCGCCGCTGAGGCTGTGCCTTAACTTCTTAGCCCTTTCTTTGACTTTTGTAAGAACAGATTTTTTGTTATGTTGATTATTATTATTATTATTGGGGAATGCCTCTTCTTGATCATTATTGTTAATGCACTTTTGGGTTGGTGATGTGTTTGGACTCCAACACCTTTCTTCTCCTAATAATTATGGCTAAAAAATAAACATACATACATGCATAATGCAACATATAGCTAGGAGCAATATAATAACCCAAAAATTATTTTTCACGATTTAAAACAAACAAAAAAATGTGATACTTGCAGAGATGAAATATCTAAGTTTGAATTTAACGAGAATAGAACCTTGGATAAGCTGGTCAAACGCTATTGAATGCGGGGACTTGGCATGCTTGAAGCTCTCGGAATTTCGTTCTAGTTGAGCCATTGATGTTCCAAAGAACTAAATTAAAATCATGTCTTCTCATGGTACTCTCATTAATTTGCTAATAAGTATTTTAAGAGAAAAGCAAGCATGTGGCAATGCTTGATTTTGGGTTGTGTTTGTGGGGTGAGAAGGATGTGTCATTTGATCCAAGAACTAACATTTGTGGGCACCCTTATCAACATATGGCAACCAATTACATGTGCGGGCATGCTATCTGATTTTAGGCATTTGCATCCTTTATTGTCAAAGTATTTATTCTTTTGGCCTTATTATTTTTAACTCAAACAAATTTAAAATTTGACAACCATATTATTATGAAATCATCATGGTTCTTTTTGTCCGGGTTAGTATGACCTTAAAATTTATGGTTACCAAAATCCTTTGTCCTTCCTTATATTGCCTATTTGCTATTGTTAAATCTTAAAACTCAGTTCATGCCACGAACCAACGGTCACTCTCTAGGAATAACCCCATTTTTGTTCAATGCCTTGTCGGAATCATACACAGAGTTCATCGGAAAATATGCTCGCAGCGGCGACTTGGGATCGGGGAAAGCGTTGCACGCGCGCCTGATCATCAATGGGTTGGCCCGTCGAACCCATTTCGCAGCAAAGCTCATCACTTTCTACGCTGAATGCAAACAGATAAATGATGCACGCAAGCTGTTCGACAAAATTCCCAAGACAAATGCACGTCGTTGGATTGTCCTGGCCGGGGCCTATTCCCGGCAAGGAATCTACGAGGAAGTTATGGGATTGTTTAAGGAAATGCAAGAGGCAAGAATACGTCCAAATAAATTCGTTCTTCCCAGTGTCTTGAAAGCCTGTGGGCATCTCTCTGATCGAAGAACAGGGGAGTCATTGCACGCCGTCATCCTCAAAAACGAGTTTGAATCTGATGCATATGTGGTTAGTGCGCTAATCGACATGTACTCAAAATGTGGGAAAGTGGAAAAGGCCAAAAGGGTATTTGATGCAATGGGGAAGAAAGATTTAGTGGCACTAAATGCTATGGTTTCAGGGCTTGTCCAGCACAGGCGTGAAACAGAAGCTCTGAGTTTGTTCGAGGAAATGAAACCACAAGGATTGAAGCCTAATGTCGTGACATATAACGCATTGATGGCAGGATTTTCTCAAGCGGATGACATGACTATGGCATCCAAAGTCTTCGCCCTGATGCAAGATGAGGGAGTAGAACCAGATGTCGTTTCTTGGACTTCTCTTGTTTCTGGGCTTGTCCAGAACTTCCACAACCGCAAAGCTTTTCATGTGTTTAAGCAGATGATGAATGCTGGGATACTTCCAACTTCAGCGACGCTTAGCAGTCTATTGCCTGCTTGTGCATCTTTGGCAAATATGAAACGTGGTAGGGAAATTCACGGTTATGCCATAGTGATGGGAGCTGAAAACGATGTGTATGTAAGGAGTGCTCTCATTGATATGTACGCGAAATGCGGGCTTATTTACCAGGCAGGTAAACTATTCCACACCATGCCCTCTAAAAACACGGTCACCTGGAATTCAATGATCTTCGGCTACGCAAATCACGGACATTGCGACGAAGCCATTCACCTCTTTGAAAAAATGGCGAGAGAGGAGGAGGGTAAAATGGACCACTTGACATTCACAGCCGCTCTCACGGCTTGCAGTCATGGTGGGATGGTCAAGTACGGAGAAAGCGTGTTCAAGAAGATGGTGGGAGAACACCGAATCATACCAAGGTTAGAGCATTATGCATGCATGGTGGATGTGTTAGGAAGAGGAGGGGAGACAAGAAAGGCATATGATTTCATTCAAAGAATGCCAATGGAGGCGGATTTGTTCGCGTGGGGAGCGTTGTTAGGGGCGTGCAGACAGTACGGGGATGTGGAGATAGCAGAGGTAGCTGCTAAAGAGTTGGTCAAGTTGGAGCCTTTGAGTGCAGGGAATGGTGTGTTGTTGTCTGGTCTATATGCAGATGTGAGCAGGTGGGGAAATGTTGCTAAGGTGAAAATGTCCATAAAGAAGAACAAGAAGCTCCAAAGGTTTCCTGGGTGTAGTTGGGTGGATGTTGTTGCAGAAGCTGCACCAAGTTAAGCCAACTTGGTTGTTTGAAAACTTTAATTGGTGCAACATTGCACATTTGCAGTTAAGACTCATTTATATGGAGGATTAGAAACTTGAATTTTTTTATTGATGAGTTAAATCCTTGATATGGAGAATGTAAAAAGTGCATTGCTGCAGGGTAAAGTAGGTCCAAGTGATTCATAGAGTGGATTTGCTATATTCTGTTTCTAACAAAAACATCTTCCATTTTTAAAAACTACTCCGTATAACAAAATGGTGTCCCTCGGTCGAAAATGTGATAATCTGGCGAACAAATGCTGAGTTGGCATAGTTTTTATTCTTAAAGATTTTAGGACAACATTTTTAACGTGAAATAAATAAAAGCAAAGAACTTTTTCCTTATAAGTTTACATATTTTGTGTGATTAGTGTCGATATAAGATTAATTTAAAGTAAATTGAACATGCATTAAAAATTTAAAAATTACAATTAATTCATTGCAAACCAGTTTTTTTTTTTATTTTTGGAAAATAAAGTTTTATTAAAAAAGAAAAAAATTAAAATAAAGAGGGGACGGTGTAGTCCCCATATTCAAGATAGCCACAAATCCAAACATGTACATAAAATAGGAAAATCCAAAATTACAAAAATGATAGATTCTTGCTAATGTAAAATTGTAATTAAAATGTTGCCCTAGATTTTTGTTTAAAAAAAATATTCATTGAACATGAAAAAATGCTGTCATAAAATTTTTAAGAAAAAATTTCTTGGACTATGAAGAGAAAAGACACCTAGACAATAGTTAAGAGGAGAGAAAAATCAACAGGAATGCCAACTAAGCATTTCTTCCTCGAATTATCATAATTCCAATCAAGGGCGCCATTTTATTACTCAGTATATTTTAAAAGATAGGGTATGTTTTTGTTAAAAATAGAAGATGTAGTACCTTTTTGTTACAACGTCTAAAGTTAGAGTACCTTATGTGAAAAAAGCCTAAATAAACATACGGCCTATTTGGAATAGTGTTAGAGAGATTAGCGTGAGCGTTTTGGATAAAATTTTAAAGATACAGATTACTTTGAAAACGTTGACGCTAAATACTGCCCGTAAATAGCCTTTTCAAAACACTAACTATAATTTCTAACGCTATTCCCAAACAGGCACATATACTCATTAGTCATTCCTTTCCAAATGAAATTGTCTAGTTGGATTTATGATGTTTGATCTAAGTTATTTTTAGTGTAATTCATTAGAGAATTGAAGCGGAATTTAAAAAAATGAAGTTTACATAATAATTAAAAAACTACATTAAAAATTACACAATACAAGAGGCGACATGAAAAAAATTTGAAAAAAATAATACAATTTTTAAATCTTTAATGCATAAAAAAAATTTGCTTTTAAAAGTGCAATGTTGCACGATTGGAAAAAGCGATAGTTTTTTTTTTCTCTTTCTTTTTTTCTTTTTTTTTGGAAAAAACAAAACAGATGAAAGGTAAAATTTGGAAAGGGGGCGGCATGGTGTGAGATGAGAGTGAGGAAGGTGGGAGAGGGTTTCCAAGCGTGTTAGTTCCGCCATACATTACTGCCTTCCTTATCCATGTCAAACGTACGTACTCGGAATCAAAGACTTTTGTATAGCCTACTAACAAATAACATAATAATAATAATAATAATAATAATAATAATAATAATAATAATAATAATGTTCCCTACAAAAGACAACAATTATAAAACGGTGAGGTTCTAGTGACACCGGAGTACGGTGCCACTCCGGTGCCACTGGCATTTTGGGACACTTCCGGTGCTCCGTTCGCAAAATTGACGGTTCCTACCCCCTAACTCATCCCCTGAACCCCCCACCCTACTCCCACCCCCACCCCGCCGGAAGTGCCTCAAAATGCCAGTGGCATCGTACTCCGGTGTCACTAGAACCCCACCGATTATAAAATAATAATAACGCCAATTAGCCTAATAACGATGACACAACAATGTTCCCTAAAAAGACCATAATAATACCCTTATTATTATTATTATACGGAGTATCTTATTATTATTATTATTGATGGACAATAAATCCACCAAATGATCCAATTTACAGAGCGGATCGCAAGAACAAAATTAAGAACAAGAATTCGAGAATTGGATGTGTATTACTAGCTTGATCTAGCCTTTTTCTCCCCTTTCGGGTCCCTTCTATTTATACACGAGCTCTCAACAATTAAGGTGAAGCGTAACCGATGGAGTTTAGCCCGCCAAGGGCGCGATCCCCTTTTTCCGGCTCCGTAACGGCCAATCAGCTCCGTCTCCTTCTCCGGACTGACTCTGCCAGCTGCGCTTGGCCTGAGGTTAACTAGGCCCAGCTCCTTGGGCCGGCCCAGCTTGAGTATTCCACAGGTGCTTGACTCGAAGCTGTTTAAATGGTTCATTTGGGCCGTCCTCTGGATATCGGCCCATCATAAGCCCCCCAACTCCTCAGTCCTCAGCTGGGCCAAGCGGAGGAGTGGGGAGTTTGCAAAGTCCACGTGGACGCTCCAGCGGGGATCCGGGCCGTTCCTTGGGTTCTGCACGACACTTGGGCACGATTTCCACAAATAAGTAATCATGGCCTGCCGATTCGCCTCCCTGTTGTCAGTTAAAAACCGCCGCTGGACGCCATCTCTTCCTTTCGCCTTCTTCACTACCGTTCGTCTGCAACTCCGCTGCTCACCCGACTCGTTCTTCTTCCTGTCCAGGTCAGTTCCTTCTCTCGCCGCCATGATTGTCTCGGATTCCGATTCGGCTACCCCATCGCCCAATTCTCACCAAGCCGGCCAATCGGCCTCTGACCGTAACCCCGGCCACACTCCATCACCCCGGCCGTCGCCGTCGGCCGTGCCTGGCCACAAACGACGTCGATTGAGGAAGCAATACCCTTCCTCAACTCTGGTAGATGAGGGCTCAAGGGTTGAATTGGACGAAAACATCATGGCGTTGTGCCATTGTCAAATTACTGACCGGGGGTTCGCCGATGCCACTGACATGGTTGGACCCTCCATCGAGGTCATGAGACCCACCAGTACTCAAACTGCTCTAGACGCACCGTCGGGGTTCTTCACGGTCCATCTGGCGTCTTTGAAGAAGGGGCTGCGCTTCCCACTCCACCCGTTGTTGATCGAATTCCTCAACGTGGTGGACCTTCTCCCGTGCCAACTGGTCCCCAACTCNGCGAACCCCCGGTCAGTAATTTGACAATGGCACAACGCCATGATGTTTTCGTCCAATTCAACCCTTGAGCCCTCATCTACCGGAGTTGAGGAAGGGTATTGCTTCCTCAATCGACGTCGTTTGTGGCCAGGCACGGCCGACGGCGACGGCCGGGGTGATGGAGTGTGGCCGGGGTTACGGTCAGAGGCCGATTGGCCGGCTTGGTGAGAATTGGGCGATGGGGTAGCCGAATCGGAATCCGAGACAATCATGGCGGCGAGAGAAGGAACTGACCTGGACAGGAAGAAGAACGAGTCGGGTGAGCAGCGGAGTTGCAGACGAACGGTAGTGAAGAAGGCGAAAGGAAGAGATGGCGTCCAGCGGCGGTTTTTAACTGACAACAGGGAGGCGAATCGGCAGGCCATGATTACTTATTTGTGGAAATCGTGCCCAAGTGTCGTGCAGAACCCAAGGAACGGCCCGGATCCCCGCTGGAGCGTCCACGTGGACTTTGCAAACTCCCCACTCCTCCGCTTGGCCCAGCTGAGGACTGAGGAGTTGGGGGGCTTATGATGGGCCGATATCCAGAGGACGGCCCAAATGAACCATTTAAACAGCTTCGAGTCAAGCACCTGTGGAATACTCAAGCTGGGCCGGCCCAAGGAGCTGGGCCTAGTTAACCTCAGGCCAAGCGCAGCTGGCAGAGTCAGTCCGGAGAAGGAGACGGAGCTGATTGGCCGTTACGGAGCCGGAAAAAGGGGATCGCGCCCTTGGCGGGCTAAACTCCATCGGTTACGCTTCACCTTAATTGTTGAGAGCTCGTGTATAAATAGAAGGGACCCGAAAGGGGAGAAAAAGGCTAGATCAAGCTAGTAATACACATCCAATTCTCGAATTCTTGTTCTTAATTTTGTTCTTGCGATCCGCTCTGTAAATTGGATCATTTGGTGGATTTATTGTCCATCAATAATAATAATAATAAGATACTCCGTATAATAATAATAATAAGGGTATTATTATGGTCTTTTTAGGGAACATTGTTGTGTCATCGTTATTAGGCTAATTGGCGTTATTATTATTTTATAATCGGTGGGGTTCTAGTGACACCGGAGTACGATGCCACTGGCATTTTGAGGCACTTCCGGCGGGGTGGGGGTGGGAGTAGGGTGGGGGGTTCAGGGGATGAGTTAGGGGGTAGGAACCGTCAATTTTGCGAACGGAGCACCGGAAGTGTCCCAAAATGCCAGTGGCACCGGAGTGGCACCGTACTCCGGTGTCACTAGAACCTCACCGTTTTATAATTGTTGTCTTTTGTAGGGAACATTATTATTATTATTATTATTATTATTATTATTATTATTATTATTATTATGTTATTTGTTAGTAGGCTATACAAAAGTCTTTGATTCCGAGTACGTACGTTTGACATGGATAAGGAAGGCAGTAATGTATGGCGGAACTAACACGCTTGGAAACCCTCTCCCACCTTCCTCACTCTCATCTCACACCATGCCGCCCCCTTTCCAAATTTTACCTTTCATCTGTTTTGTTTTTTCCAAAAAAAAAGAAAAAAAGAAAGAGAAAAAAAAAACTATCGCTTTTTCCAATCGTGCAACATTGCACTTTTAAAAGCAAATTTTTTTTATGCATTAAAGATTTAAAAATTGTATTATTTTTTTCAAATTTTTTTCATGTCGCCTCTTGTATTGTGTAATTTTTAATGTAGTTTTTTAATTATTATGTAAACTTCATTTTTTTAAATTCCGCTTCAATTCTCTAATGAATTACACTAAAAATAACTTAGATCAAACATCATAAATCCAACTAGACAATTTCATTTGGAAAGGAATGACTAATGAGTATATGTGCCTGTTTGGGAATAGCGTTAGAAATTATAGTTAGTGTTTTGAAAAGGCTATTTACGGGCAGTATTTAGCGTCAACGTTTTCAAAGTAATCTGTATCTTTAAAATTTTATCCAAAACGCTCACGCTAATCTCTCTAACACTATTCCAAATAGGCCGTATGTTTATTTAGGCTTTTTTCACATAAGGTACTCTAACTTTAGACGTTGTAACAAAAAGGTACTACATCTTCTATTTTTAACAAAAACATACCCTATCTTTTAAAATATACTGAGTAATAAAATGGCGCCCTTGATTGGAATTATGATAATTCGAGGAAGAAATGCTTAGTTGGCATTCCTGTTGATTTTTCTCTCCTCTTAACTATTGTCTAGGTGTCTTTTCTCTTCATAGTCCAAGAAATTTTTTCTTAAAAATTTTATGACAGCATTTTTTCATGTTCAATGAATATTTTTTTTAAACAAAAATCTAGGGCAACATTTTAATTACAATTTTACATTAGCAAGAATCTATCATTTTTGTAATTTTGGATTTTCCTATTTTATGTACATGTTTGGATTTGTGGCTATCTTGAATATGGGGACTACACCGTCCCCTCTTTATTTTAATTTTTTTCTTTTTTAATAAAACTTTATTTTCCAAAAATAAAAAAAAAAACTGGTTTGCAATGAATTAATTGTAATTTTTAAATTTTTAATGCATGTTCAATTTACTTTAAATTAATCTTATATCGACACTAATCACACAAAATATGTAAACTTATAAGGAAAAAGTTCTTTGCTTTTATTTATTTCACGTTAAAAATGTTGTCCTAAAATCTTTAAGAATAAAAACTATGCCAACTCAGCATTTGTTCGCCAGATTATCACATTTTCGACCGAGGGACACCATTTTGTTATACGGAGTAGTTTTTAAAAATGGAAGATGTTTTTGTTAGAAACAGAATATAGCAAATCCACTCTATGAATCACTTGGACCTACTTTACCCTGCAGCAATGCACTTTTTACATTCTCCATATCAAGGATTTAACTCATCAATAAAAAAATTCAAGTTTCTAATCCTCCATATAAATGAGTCTTAACTGCAAATGTGCAATGTTGCACCAATTAAAGTTTTCAAACAACCAAGTTGGCTTAACTTGGTGCAGCTTCTGCAACAACATCCACCCAACTACACCCAGGAAACCTTTGGAGCTTCTTGTTCTTCTTTATGGACATTTTCACCTTAGCAACATTTCCCCACCTGCTCACATCTGCATATAGACCAGACAACAACACACCATTCCCTGCACTCAAAGGCTCCAACTTGACCAACTCTTTAGCAGCTACCTCTGCTATCTCCACATCCCCGTACTGTCTGCACGCCCCTAACAACGCTCCCCACGCGAACAAATCCGCCTCCATTGGCATTCTTTGAATGAAATCATATGCCTTTCTTGTCTCCCCTCCTCTTCCTAACACATCCACCATGCATGCATAATGCTCTAACCTTGGTATGATTCGGTGTTCTCCCACCATCTTCTTGAACACGCTTTCTCCGTACTTGACCATCCCACCATGACTGCAAGCCGTGAGAGCGGCTGTGAATGTCAAGTGGTCCATTTTACCCTCCTCCTCTCTCGCCATTTTTTCAAAGAGGTGAATGGCTTCGTCGCAATGTCCGTGATTTGCGTAGCCGAAGATCATTGAATTCCAGGTGACCGTGTTTTTAGAGGGCATGGTGTGGAATAGTTTACCTGCCTGGTAAATAAGCCCGCATTTCGCGTACATATCAATGAGAGCACTCCTTACATACACATCGTTTTCAGCTCCCATCACTATGGCATAACCGTGAATTTCCCTACCACGTTTCATATTTGCCAAAGATGCACAAGCAGGCAATAGACTGCTAAGCGTCGCTGAAGTTGGAAGTATCCCAGCATTCATCATCTGCTTAAACACATGAAAAGCTTTGCGGTTGTGGAAGTTCTGGACAAGCCCAGAAACAAGAGAAGTCCAAGAAACGACATCTGGTTCTACTCCCTCATCTTGCATCAGGGCGAAGACTTTGGATGCCATAGTCATGTCATCCGCTTGAGAAAATCCTGCCATCAATGCGTTATATGTCACGACATTAGGCTTCAATCCTTGTGGTTTCATTTCCTCGAACAAACTCAGAGCTTCTGTTTCACGCCTGTGCTGGACAAGCCCTGAAACCATAGCATTTAGTGCCACTAAATCTTTCTTCCCCATTGCATCAAATACCCTTTTGGCCTTTTCCACTTTCCCACATTTTGAGTACATGTCGATTAGCGCACTAACCACATATGCATCAGATTCAAACTCGTTTTTGAGGATGACGGCGTGCAATGACTCCCCTGTTCTTCGATCAGAGAGATGCCCACAGGCTTTCAAGACACTGGGAAGAACGAATTTATTTGGACGTATTCTTGCCTCTTGCATTTCCTTAAACAATCCCATAACTTCCTCGTAGATTCCTTGCCGGGAATAGGCCCCGGCCAGGACAATCCAACGACGTGCATTTGTCTTGGGAATTTTGTCGAACAGCTTGCGTGCATCATTTATCTGTTTGCATTCAGCGTAGAAAGTGATGAGCTTTGCTGCGAAATGGGTTCGACGGGCCAACCCATTGATGATCAGGCGCGCGTGCAACGCTTTCCCCGATCCCAAGTCGCCGCTGCGAGCATATTTTCCGATGAACTCTGTGTATGATTCCGACAAGGCATTGAACAAAAATGGGGTTATTCCTAGAGAGTGACCGTTGGTTCGTGGCATGAACTGAGTTTTAAGATTTAACAATAGCAAATAGGCAATATAAGGAAGGACAAAGGATTTTGGTAACCATAAATTTTAAGGTCATACTAACCCGGACAAAAAGAACCATGATGATTTCATAATAATATGGTTGTCAAATTTTAAATTTGTTTGAGTTAAAAATAATAAGGCCAAAAGAATAAATACTTTGACAATAAAGGATGCAAATGCCTAAAATCAGATAGCATGCCCGCACATGTAATTGGTTGCCATATGTTGATAAGGGTGCCCACAAATGTTAGTTCTTGGATCAAATGACACATCCTTCTCACCCCACAAACACAACCCAAAATCAAGCATTGCCACATGCTTGCTTTTCTCTTAAAATACTTATTAGCAAATTAATGAGAGTACCATGAGAAGACATGATTTTAATTTAGTTCTTTGGAACATCAATGGCTCAACTAGAACGAAATTCCGAGAGCTTCAAGCATGCCAAGTCCCCGCATTCAATAGCGTTTGACCAGCTTATCCAAGGTTCTATTCTCGTTAAATTCAAACTTAGATATTTCATCTCTGCAAGTATCACATTTTTTTGTTTGTTTTAAATCGTGAAAAATAATTTTTGGGTTATTATATTGCTCCTAGCTATATGTTGCATTATGCATGTATGTATGTTTATTTTTTAGCCATAATTATTAGGAGAAGAAAGGTGTTGGAGTCCAAACACATCACCAACCCAAAAGTGCATTAACAATAATGATCAAGAAGAGGCATTCCCCAATAATAATAATAATAATCAACATAACAAAAAATCTGTTCTTACAAAAGTCAAAGAAAGGGCTAAGAAGTTAAGGCACAGCCTCAGCGGCGGCAAGAAGAAGCACGAAAATCATGTCCCCGGTGAAACCAACTCCACGCGGCCGGCATGGGGTGCAAACTTAGAAGAGAACGAATACGAAAACGAAGACGAATATGATGAATATGATGAAGAAGATGATGATGATGATGATGATGTGGTAGAGGATGAAGATCCCGAGTATCTTGGAGCTCCTAGTAAGTAACAAAATTTATCTTAGTGGGTCTGTTTTTGGATTCGAATTCGATTGAATTTAACTCATTTTTAAAGGGTTATTTTGGATTCGCCTGTCTTGATATTATGTTTAAAATCCAATTCTTTTTTTGAAAGATTGAAACAACTTTCACTATCTAAAATGGATGAAAACATTAATTAATGAAGAGTTTCTTTTTACATGGCTATCAGTGTATGAATCGGAACTGGCGCCGGAAGACTACAAAGAGACGGCACGGCAACACCCCCGCGCCGATCCTCTGTTTTCAGAGAAGAGCGTTTTCCCGCTCCAAGCAGCCACAAAACCCGGGAACGAAAAAGAGGCCGGAGAAGAAAGGTCCAATGCGACAGAACCCCAGCCGTCGTCGTCTTCCATCGACTCCAAGTTTTCCGGCCTGACGGTGGCGGCTACCGCCGCAAAGACAGAGGAGAAAGACAAAGAAGGCATTAGCAGCCCGACAAGATGGGACAAAGGGGTATCTGTGAAGGAGTACTTGATGAACAAGCTTGAGCCCGGGGAGGACGAAAGGGAGCTCTCCAAGGTCATCTCTGAGGCCATGAGTCCCAGAACCAGAGCTCCCGGAGACAGGGGAGTGGTCGAGAAAGTGAAGGACGCGGTTTCTTCCTTCCTCCGCCCCCAACCGCCGCCTATAAACCAGTTTCTCTCCAGAGTCGCCGCCGCCACCAACCACACGGAGGTGTCGCCGTCGCAGGGCTCTGTTTCCGCCACCAACGGAAACTCCTCTCCCCTCATTCCCGTCTCTACCAATGCCCATGAAGGTAAGATAATTGTTACTCCATTCCTTCTAAAATTACCCATCCCAGTTACTATTCAAAGCTAGTAAATAAAATGGAAAATTAATTTTAGAACACAGAGGGTAGAATATAAAAGAGGAATTTATTTAAATAATACTAAAATACAGTGACTTTCCCTAAATAGCATTATATGTTTTTTTTCCAATGTAACACTTTTAGTCATTATCCATTAGTCATTATTCAAGTAAATGTTATTTAGGAAATAAAACAATTTAAGTGCTATTTAAAAAAATGACCTAAATTTTAGTGCAAATATGAAATATCTCAATATAAAAACCACCTGACCCAAATTAAAAATATTATTTTAGAATTTTACGTGTAAAATTCAAAATGATTACACATGCAACTGACGAGACGTGTTAAAGTGTAAAAATCTTTTATGAGCCCAATAAAATAAATTTCTGCAGTGGTTGAAGAAGAGAGTGAGGGAAGGACACTTCAAACAAACTGATCAATCAAAGGCAGAGGAGTCTTTGGGCAAAGCTATGGATAATGGAATTCTTTCCTTTTTGTATTCTACCCATTCTCTAAATAGGGCTCATTGTATTTTTATTTTTTTTTCCTTTTGGTTAGTTTGGATTCCCAAAATTAACGGCTCTTTTTGGTTTTACCATTTTGTTGGGGAGGGATGAACTTAGAGCATTAAAAAACAGGTTGGTAAATGCTATTTTACCAACAAAATACTACGTAATATTTTACTGCTCTAATTCTTAGCACGTTCTGCAACCATAGAATGTATAGAGTTCAATCTTATGTATGTAGACATGTGACATTTGCTATAGAGACATCCTATGGTTGAAATGGGAGAGAGTATTTAATTTTTTTTACCAACCCAAGTGCATTTGCTATAAATACCAACTCTATTGGTTAAAATAGCAATCTTGCTAAAGTAAAGCTCTTCCCTTGGATTGAACAAAATTGAAACTAAGTTGCTATTTTGTATGTAGTACCATTTAAGAATATGGTTGGAGATGCTCCTATCATAGTATTCATCGATATTAGGGTGCTTGTAATGGTGTATTTTGGTGTACTCTTTTTTGTAGTTGTATCCATTACAAGGCGATAATGTGACAAATTTGTAGAGTTCATGTAGATCTTCTCACGCATTTTACGGGCTTGCAAATAATGTTTTTGCAAAAGACCTATTTTTTATGATATTAATGCACTAAGATCCGTTAAATTAATATGGATCTTAGGACAATGTAAGAATTTTCCAAATTGGTAAGGTTGCCTTTAAAAGTTGAGAGTGGTGATTATGGGGAAAGACTTGTTTTCACTATCATATCTCTCTTACTTTTTCTTTCTTTTATTTATTTAAATTAAAGTGATTTTTTTTGAAAGTTTGCATTGTAAGTTTATTGTTATAGAAATAAATTTAAAAAAGTTAGAGCCTCCCCAACTATCCCACTTTGGTTTGCTAGAACTCCTAGAAGCTATGATATAGCAAGCCAAATCATTCTTTGATTCTCCAATGAGTGTGCTATATTCTAGCAAGCTTACCGAAAAATGAATTTACCTTGCTAAATATAAGTATATAACAAGCTTTCCTTTTTATATGAAGTCAAAGAGATGTAGAATGAATTAACAAACCATGGTTGGAGAATGGAACAAAAAGTTACTTGTTATATCACTATGCATTTGTTAAAATGTAAAAATAGCAAGTCAATATAGGAAAAATGGTTAAAAATGTTCTTTGTGAATTTTAACTTCTGATGTGGCGCTGACGCGCAGGATTAAAATTATTTTTTTGTTTACCATTACAATCAACCTTATTATGTGCATATTGATTGTGTAAGTGGCATATGAATGACCTTTTTTGGTGTAGATTGTGCATTTGTGATTTTTTTGATATTTTTTTTCAATTGAAATATTATAATCAAAGTTTGTAAATTTAAATTTTGATATTCAAAAAAAATCATATCGTGTTATGATAAAAATAGTTTTTTTACTTAACTAGGACTAAAACATAATGACTTTCTTAATATACGATCATATGTTTTTATTTTCTCAATGTAGAACTATTGGTCATTATCTATTAGTCACTATTCAATTAAATGTCAAGCATCACTTGGACATTATTCTTATCACTAGTCATTATTAAGTCATATTTAGGGAATAAAAAATTTAAGTCCTACATTGAAAAATGATTTATGTTTTCGTCCTATTCAATGCAGATTTACTAATAGTTACGGAGTATTTGTGTAAAATTATTTGCAACCATGAGGTATATAATATGGCCACAAATTTTACTTTGCTTAGGACCTATCAATTCAAAACATTTTAATATTTATTTCAACTTCTTTTAATATCTTTAACTCTCTCAAAATCTTCCAATTTTTCTTGATTTATACTAACAATTTATAATTTATTCCAATTTCTTTTAATCTCTTCCAATTTCATCATTTCTGATAACAGAGCGCCAGTCTATTTCGACGTGGGACTAACTCCATGTACATTCCCCAGCAACATCTTGTGTCTCCTTAAAATAATTGTAAGGAGCTATTTGGGACTAAAATGTTTACATTCGTGGATGGGTCGCATTCACGTTTAAGGGTGAGCAAGTACCGAACCGATACCGAAATTTTCCGAAAAAAATGAGAATACCGAACCAAAAAAGTATCGAGAAGGAACCGAACCGTACCGAATTGAATGGTCGGTACGGTATTTGGGGCGTTGTTAAATTTTAATGTGTAAAGTAGGTATGTATATTCATCCCGATTTGTACCGAAACCGATACCGAACCAAACCGAACCGATATTTCGAGATCGGTACAGAGTAAAATCACATACCGAACCAAAAAATTTGGTACGGTATCAGTACGAGCTAAATACCGTACCATGCTCACCCCTATTCACGTTTCAAGTTTCAACACATGGATATTTTGTTTGAATTTGTCAACGTGGTACGATGACAATCTCTCCAAGATTTTTTTCATTTTGGGAAGTATTGAGTTTGAGTCATCATACTCATAAAAATAAATCATACTATAGATTTTTAGCATCCACACTCTTGAAAATCTCAGCGCCCGATGCGGATGAACAAACAAGTAGAGCAAACGGTGTATACTACTCTGTAGGTTCATGCGAGAGGTCAGAGTTCCTTGTGTTGGGGCCACAATGTCGTGGCCGACTAATATAAAAAGTTTACCCTCCAAATTAAAGTTTTTGCCGGAGGCGTTGCAAAGTTGGCAAGGCAAGCAATGCCCAAGGGATAATTGCAACTGTGTGAAGAATCAATTATATATGTTAAACATAAGATCTCTACAAGTACTTGACATGTGCTACACGTTTTGTCATAAATCTGTAATTAAAGCCTAATTTACGTTCTCTTAGGTGGTCATCCAGACGGTTCAGGGGGCTGAGATTGTCCCGCCGGTTCTATCTAAGGGGTTCTCAGGGACGAGTTTCATCCTTTTTTGTTTGAATTGATGTAAGACTGACCCAAACGTAAATCACATAAAGCGAAAGCGAGTTCTAATAATACTCGTTTCGAATAATATATGGGGAATTTACTTAAATAGCAATAAAACATAACGACTTTCTCTAAATAGCACCATATGTGTTTTTCTTCCCAATGTAGCACTTTTAGTCATTATGGATTAGTCATTATTCAAGCAAATATTCGTCATCACTAGACATTATGAACATTATTAAATGCTATTTAGAAAATAGAACCGTTTAAGTGCTATTTAGGGAAATGACTTAAATTTTAGTGCAAATATTTCATAATATATACCATGCCCAATATTACTCTCTTAAACTCTAAATTTTTATTCTTTCTATTTATGAAAATATGCATAATTTAAACGTAAAACATACGGAGTACTCCGTATGTCATAAGGTATGACTATGATTTATGAAAGTACTGAAATCTCATAATTTTAAATAAAGAAGTAAGTTAATTACAAGAGAATTTACATTTTGAAAAACTTACTCCACATGCCCTAAAATATTATCTTCCCAAATACCATTAACATGGTCACACTTTATTCAGTTTATTTGGCGATCTCTTATTGAAGGAGGGAGAATTCTTGAATAAGGATGTGTGCGGATGGTCGAGAATGGAGAAGATAGATCGGTACTTAATGCTCTATGGTTGTTGAGGAAAAAAGACTCTTATATTCGAATGAACCTTAACGAGGAGTGGGCAAGTTTTCCGGTGTCGGCCCTAATGATCCAATTACTCGGAGATGGGTTGTTGGCCTTCTTTAAGCATTGTTCTGCATGCTCGGAAGATATCAATGAGATTATGCGGATCCCTTTGAGCAATCAGGTGTACGAGGATGGCCGCATGTGGAGAGACGATCTTAAGGGTACCTACTCGGTGAAGCAAGGCTACCGTCTACTTCACAAGAACCAATGACCAAGGGAGACGATCAACACTGCTGGTATGTGGACTCTCGTGTGGAAGATGTAGGTGCCACCGAAGGTACATATCAATTGGAAGAACTTGGTATAGAATCGTATCGGATAGGGAAGAACTTCGAGCCTTCTTCTAGCTCTAGAAGAATAGGATAGAGAAAGATATTAGGATTTTGATATTTCTTTATTGATTGAATAATAATAATAATAATACGAGAGTACAATATATAGAGATACGAGAAACACTAATTAACCTAATGGGCTTGGGCCCCATACTAAAACCTAATCATGAGTACATATATAATACTACTAATTAATAAATAACTAATTAAATAATATAATTCATCTTCTCTATCAAGGAATATGTATTTCATTGCCTTATTGAGTGTGCTTACACGTGTGAATGTTTGGAGAAAATCAGTTGCCACTTTACGAGGAAATTTGTATCACTTTGGCAGTGACTTGAGGACCTACGTAAATAGAATACACAAGATGTAGTGTTCTAGAAGGTATGCATGATTTTGTGGGAGGAACGGGGACAACAAAAAGTATCTGGTTTCGAGGAATAAGCGTATGATTCCAAGAACGTTAGCAGCCAAAGCAGTTCGAGAGACGCAAGAAAGGTGCAAACCAAGGGAGAGGTGCGGAGGAACAAAGGCGGGTCAGGCCAACGAGGGACTGTATGGCAAGCTTCGAGTGGGGATGACCTTAAATGTAATGTTGATGCGAGTTTCAATTCGCAAACAAAGATGGTGCGGTTGGGATGGTGGTGCGGGATGCGCTTGGAGGTTTCTTGCGAGGGGCACACCGCAGGCTTGGTCCACTTCAGTATGCACTGATGGCCAAACTGCCGAAGCTAGTGGACTTCAAGAGGCGCTGATATGGTTGAAATTGTTCTTCATGCGGCGTGAACTAGTGGTGAAAATTGATAGTGAGGTTGCCTTCAACGCAACCGAAGGTGATATGGAGAACTTTTCTTTTTTTTACAGAAACATTTTTTATTGTTTGGCACTAATGCAAGATTTTGACTTTCTTACATTGCTTGTTGTTGAAAGATCAACCGTACAAGTTACTCATTTGTTTTCTCGAGCGTATGATTCTGAATTTGATTGGTTGAAAGAGTTAATTTCCTCTCGATTTATTGTATTCCGACTTGAATTTATAGTTCTATTGTTGATTTAAAAAAAGTTAAGGTAGTGTTTGACAATTAACATTTCATTTCAATTCATACATTTCAATTCCAGAATTTGAAATCTTGAATTTCAAATAACAATGGGAGGTGCGTGGATTTCAAAATAAG